GAGATGAGATTGAGATTGATTTTTAGGGAGATCTATTTAAAGCTTTATGTAAAAAATTAACATCTTAAAAGACAAGGGAGACAAAGATTTTTAATGACCATACAAATAATCATACAAATAAGGCTTAATAAGCAGGCTCAGACTGCACCAGCTGTAATTCCTGAATAGCTTTAAGATACAGAATACAATGCAGCAGCCTCAACTCATGGGGAGAAATGCACTATGACAACTGCAAGGCCCACACAGAAAGAAAAAAGGTAAAATCTCACAGCTGTCCGTAATTTTTTTTAAGTGCTACTTTGCCAGTGGCCACTTCCCACCAGGCAAGTGTTATCATAAAAGCCAGTTTTAGACCCATTTCCACTCTCCTGCATAGTGGCCAAGTAGGTTGCTGCTCTGTGAGTAGTTTTAGGGTTCTACTGACTTCCAGTTCTTGGCTTAGTTCTCTCTCATACTACTGTTTAGTTTCCAGTATTTACTTAACAAGCTATGATAGAAACTAGTCTATTTGTGATACTACGATCGATTTAGCTATTTCCCATTCCCTGTACTATACCTTAATTCAAAAGGAACATACCAATACATAAATCCTGCATCACATAATTCCCCTGTCTAATATCCTCTTGGTGACAGCAAGCTTCATCAGGTCCTATAAAGAACTGTGCAAGAAACCCTACAACAGAAAGTTATGCAATATCCTATCTGCAGAGATAAAACTTATTTTGAACCCCATTAGACAGTTACTTGATCCCTTGAACATGGAGAATTGCACACCTTCCAGAAATTTTTGTTTAACTGCATTGTAATTTAAGGTACGGCTACAACTGCCTCAGTGTTGACCTGGAAGGGCCCACTATGATGGATGCCCACTCACTCACTCCAACTCCATATACGTGTTTATCCTGTGAATCATGTTTGCACATCTAATAGTGCTAACAACATGTGGCACCCTTGAAAGGATCCCAAGGCACCCTGGTTGAGAACTACTGTCCTAACTTGTAATTTTTATCATTCTCAAACCCCAAACATTACTCTATAGTTCCACAGGTGCCTCATGGTTTCCTAACTACACAGCACAAAAGACAGTGTTCTAAACTGTTCTTAAAAAGTGCATCGCATAACCTCAGGGTTAGTCTTCCAATGCATATAACATCCACATCCCCTTTCAAGAGAAGCACTATAAACATATACCAAGGAAAGCATACACAGAACAGGTAGAAGAAAATAAACTACCCTGAAAATCAGTACCATAAAACCCCAAACAAAACATTACAGCTTAACACATGCTCAGTGTACAGAGAATAAAAGATCAGTAATCACTGTATTTCATTTCTCTAGGACATCATGATCTAAAGGACTAAAATAGGAAGGAAATGTCCCTTTTCATTTATTTGCTTTCTCCCAATATACTCGTTCTGGTAGCTGGGAAGTGCTGAAGATTTAATTACAAGCTATCCTCAGGAAATGAGCCAAGCTCAGAAGCTGAGAAAACAAAAACCTGCAAAAGCATTCATATGAATTCCAAGATACATCCTAATATGAATAGATGGTTTCAGCCTTGTGCCCAAAGGTAAAGATTCATTATCTTTACTGATTTCTGAAGCGTGCAGAACTGTACTTAAAGAAACAGTGCCAATGCTCTTCTGCAAATGAGGAGATTCTGTATGTCAACTTTTGAAGCAAATGAAATTCTGGCAGTCATGTCCACCTTCACCCTCTGATCCTAGAAGAGAGAACAGGTAATATGGAAGCTCTACATTTCAGCTCTTGATACCGCCTCTTCTCACATATAGTATGCTCCCATATATAATACTCATCTTGATTTTGAAGGGGAGCCAGTAGAAAAAAAAGAGCTCTTCAAGGTAACGGAGTGGCAGCAGCTACGGAGCAGAGACTGCTTCCAGTCTGTTGCCAGCCTCATTCACTGGATGTGGCCCACAAACTTACTCAGCATGCCAGCTCCAGGGCCACATGCTGCATCTGATCCGGTGCACTGCATGCATTTGACCTGGTATGCGAAGTCCAAACCTGACATATGGGCCCAGATGTGGCATGCCAGGTCCAAGCCCACAAGCTAGCTCTAGATGCAGCATGTGGCTCTGGAGCCAGCTGCACTGGAAACAGACCAGTATGCAGAACCTTGAGCCAGCCCACTGTCCAGAACTCAGCACACCGGGTTCAACTCAGCACACGACTCCTGGCCCAGTCTGACCCAGCATGCCAGGTCCAGGGCTATGTGCCAGGTTAGACTCCATGTCCTGGGTCCAGCCACAAACCAGTCCCATACGCCAGCAAGATACAGAGCATGGTGGGGAAGGGGGATGCAGCAGTATTCTCATGATTCTGGGAGCCACAACGATGAATGCTACCACCAATCCTCCCGTCCCCTCCCCCTACAAGTTTCTAAAACCATAATCCCCTTTTCCTTACATATATTACACACTTCAATTTTCCCCAGCTGGTTTTGGGGGGGAAAGACACAGAATATATAATAGATCATATTTTCTTGTATAATTACAGGCAAAGAAGGTAGCTCTGTCTATATTTGTGGTTGCTCAAACTTCCCATTACAAACCTCTTTCCCCACCCCACTCCCCTGCTGTTGCTTGTAATTTTGTCAAACTTTAGCCTTCTGGTCTGAATTTCTCTATGCCAAATGCCTCCCTTGGGACAATTTTTTTTTCCTGAAAGCTTTAGCAAAAATGATTTAGTCATTTTTAAAAAGGCAAAAAACCTGTCATTTTTGCTTTTAAAACTCCTACAACTGTTTCACTGGCTATGCACAACCTGATTTCGGCAAGTTAACAAATGGCAAGCGCATACTGTGCATCAATTAATCACTGGTAATTATCCATGTGCCAGCTCTTATGTGGAAGTAAGTGAAAGATGAACTGTAGTGCTTAGCCTTCATGCATAGTGTTCCACATGCTCAGTTTTTACTGATTTTCACTGATAAATTCCCCGATTTTTTTTTAAGTCATTCAGTTTTTTAACTGATTTACACCTGTTTTTCAGTTCAAATCCCTGTTAACTGGCACGAATGGCCCATGCAGAACCCGCATAAGTCGAGTGAAACCTGTATACATTTTAGTATGCTGACAATTCATACACATTTAACGGTTTTTACATTTGTATTACAGCAAGAAACAGTTGTACTTACCAGAAGTACCATCATCCTACTGTCGTAACTCCCTATGGTAGTATTCATGAACAAGGATTTAAAAAAAGAAAAAAAAAGACCAACTTTTGTCCAACAATATTTATTTTTCTTAAGTTTTGTGTGTAAAAAATTCAGGTTTTCATAAACTGATTTTGAATTATTAGAGAAAGCAAAGAACAGTAAGTTTAGGCTAAACTTTTTATATACAAATGTAATTTTTGTGTCTCATTGAAACTAGTAATTTTTCCAGAAATTCTGGTTTGCATATGATCGCATGGTTTTCTTACGGGTATCCTCACTCATGTTGAGCCTCTTGCTCTCTTGAATGTAGTCCAGTTTTGAAAATAAGCATTCTGCATCCACTGATCCAGGGGGTACACTCAAATCTCATTGTGCAACTTTACTAAAGTTGGGAAGTGCGTCTTGGTGGGTATTCCACAAAGCCAGCACATCCAGTTCCACATCGTCACAGACAGACATGTTCATGTAGGTAGCGTATCCACTTTTAAGATGCAAAATTTCATCTTTGGTGGCAAGTGGTTGAAACACTGACATTGTGGTTGTAGTCTGCTGCAAAATTCACCTTGAGGAAGGGGTTCAACACCTGGATGACATTCCAAAAAGAATCTTTGGTGCCAAACACTTCTGGGTTCAAATTACGTGTTACAAGTTGCCTGCCATTTTTCGCAGAGGATAGTGTTTAAGTCTTTGAAAGCTTGTTTTGGTTCTTTCATATTCCAAGATCAGGACTTCAATAAACAGTTGTGTTTCGTCGCCATACATTTCTGTTGCAGCTTTTGCGTTCAATTCATATGATATTTTCATTATCAGTATGTGGTGAACTTCTGTATTAGAAAATGTTGTGTTGGCTGCAGAAGGGGAGAACTCCAGTGCTTTTTGCATTGAAAAAGACAGTGAATCCAAGTTCTCAACAATGAACGTCATATGACCTTGGTGCACAGAATCTGGTGGTCACTGAGTTTATTTGCCTGTTTCTTTAGAGTTTCTGCTTTAGCACTGACAAACTCAGGGTGATCTAAAAGATGCATTAGCATAGTCCATGCCTTATTTATATGACATGCTGCCAGGTAAAAACTCATCCACTGATGTGGCACAGCAGGAGTTGATAATCGGTAGTCAAGTTTGCAACTGTCTCGCACTTTATAAAACAAAGCCTTCAGCTTGTTTGCATGCTTGAAAAAAAGCCCCAAATCCAACAACGAGAAATTTCATTTCTCTCATTTCTTCAAAAGCTGTGGCTGATGATAGTGCAACATGAATTAAATAAGCGGGACAAGTAACTCGTAATAACTCCGGTCTGTGATTGAGTTTTATCTCCCCTGAAAAATTAAGCCATACAGAAGGCAGAATCCGTGTTAGTGGTGGCCACATTTTCCCAAATCAGTTGGTACATCTCTAACATTGCATTTACTTGCTGCATGGATGCTTGGGCTGTCACAGTAAATGGAATGAATGTCACATCAGCACAAAAATATTCTGAATTTTTGGCTTTGAAAACAAAAACCAGAGAATCAGGCAAAGCATCAGGGGATTCATCAAAAATCAAACTAGACACCACTTTTCCATTAACTCTTTCAAACACTTTAGATACTAGAGCTTCATTATTTTCTCTGAGGTACTTAAGAGTGAGGTTGCCTGCATTAGGAAGAGTTTTTGCTGCTGGACAGTACTCCCGCACAAAGTCACCAATCGGTTCCTCCATGAGAAACAGTGGTTGCCCAGCAAAACAAGCAGCATGCACAAATACATTAACACCTGTTATTGAGGATTAATCCCTGTTATCCAGGATTTTATTAACTGGAAAACTGTTAACTGGAATTTCAGTAGCAGGAAACACATGGCATCTTGGCCCGCCTTTCTTCCCTGGCTGCACTTTCGCCCCTCCCCCCTGCTGCAGCAGCCTGCTGCCGGCTGCCCTGGGGTTTGGGCGGATGGGGGAGTGGCACAAGGCTGGATGCAGGGGTGGGGGTGGGGATGACCCAACCCCAGCACCACCCACCCTGCCCGGGGTCAGAGCCGAGAGCTCTACACCCCCAGGCAGCAACTCCAGCTCTGCGGAGTAGCCAGATGCAATGCTCACTGCAGGGACTGAGACTGGGCTGTCCTGCTTGCACCCCCCGCTGCCCCCCGCCGGGCTCATAGCTCCCAGTGCCCGGGCAGGGCCACAGCCGAAGCCGCCGAGGGGACCTGTCAGTGGGTGCAGGGCAAGGCTCTTGTTGCTATGCACATCCCGAGAGGGCTGCAGGCTGGGGGACTGTGCTGGGCTCTTCCCGGGGGGCACATGCCCCCAGATCTGTGCGCACAATAAGAGCCAGCTGCCACTGCAGGCTGGGGCTGGTGGTGGCACCAGGATCTTCCCAGCACTCTGGGTGGACGGCAGCCTGCTTTTGTCCTGTGCACAAATCCAGGGGCCTGTGCCCCTTAGGAGGTTTATGGAGCTGTGCTGGGCTCTCCCCGAGGGATGCAGGCCCCCCGATCTGCGTGCAGGACAAAACCAGGCCGCTGGCTGCCCAGAGCACCACAAAGAGCCTGGTGCCACTACCGGCACAGTCCCCCAGCGCACAGACCTCACGGGGGGCAATACCCATGCCTCCCCTTCCCACCTACCCACAGCTCCCCCTTCGCTCCCTGCTGCAGGCCTGGGAGCAGCAGATAGGCTGCGCTGCACCCCTCCCCTGCCCCTTCACTCGTCCCAGCCTTCCTCCCCCCTTCATCGCCAATTCCCCCCCAAACCCTGAAAAATTCCTGGATTTTTTTTTTTTAAATAAAAATCGAGAATGCAGAACACTACTCAAGCATTAAGGCCTAAGCTACTTCAGTTTAGCTATCACTTCCCATAACATAAAAGAGGACAGTTGTTGCAGAGCAACTGACATTCAAGAAGTCCCTGTTCCCTGTTAACTTGTTGCATGTGTTTGTCTGTATCTATGAAGAAGTTACAGCACTTATGCTTTAGAACAGGACTTGAAATGTGATGGGAATGGTCTTTTCTCTTTTTTTTTTTTTAAATCTCCATAACCTTTTGCTGTCCCATGGAGAAAACCAAACACATCTGGTCAAGTTATGAGCTTTTGAAAAAGATGTGGTTTTGCTTATGGTCATTAGAAAAAGTTTTCAGCAAAAATTCTGACTCTGCTTGGAGTACTCTCTCTCAGGGATATGGAGCTGCACATAAAATTTTCCACACTTTCTTTTCCTGCAGCTAATATTGGCTTAAAGTATGAGCTATAAAGTGAGGAGAAAGAAGACAAGAGTAACATTCCCTTAGTGCCCTAGAATCACAGAGGAAACAGCTTTAGCTCAAGAAAGAAGTAAAAAGAAAAATATACTTGGGAGCTGAGGGAAGAGAAAGAAGGAAAAAGACCACTGCAAGGTATAAATATAACATTCATGAATATTTGTGAAGCTTGGACATTATTGTGACACACTACATAAGAAAGTTTTTAAGAAGTCAATAATTGTGTTTTCAACAGAGTCCAAATAATGTATATGTTTCTAGAGCAGCTATCAAAATAATTCATTTATACATGGTAAGAAAAAGTATTACTCACTACCTGACCATATTTAAAGCTTCAGAAAGTATAAAAGACAGCATCTGTGAACTGGTAAGAGCTGCCTGAAACAGAGTAACTAACCTCTCAGCATGGAGACACAGCTAAAGTAGTCAAGTAAAAAAATTCAAACAAGTTCTGGAATGTAGGTAAGTGATTATATATATCCTAAGGATGCTGGCCAAAAGTTACTTTTTAATTCAGTAATATGTTTTCTGAGTAGAAAGTGAAAGAAAGCTAATTCCCTCTTTTGGGATGCAAAGACAGACACATCCACTGTTCACAGAAAAAAAAAAATCACTGTTCATTTGATTACAACCACGATTAGGAAGGTAGAGCAATCTTGTCTTGGCAGCTACCTGGAAGAAGTAAATCTCTGATAGAGAACTAAGGAGGGGAAGTAAAAATTTGGCAATGGTTTCCATTAGACCACACATCCCTAAGATTCAATGGATGGTGAAGAATTTTGAAGAGTCGTTTAAGCATGATTTATTCCCTAACAGATAGGGACAGAGGAAGAGAACTAATTGGTTTTCAGGTCCTTAAATAGCAACAACCTCTTACTTCATAAGTATATGGAATGCTACTCATAAGATGGCTCTGTAAATCTAGGGTGTAAGCCACTGAACCTGTTATCACTTAATTATTTGTGCTTGGGCACACATTTTGAGATGCATACTCTAGACTTGTTTAGCAAGAAGACGACTTACAGGTCTATGGGATGGGCAGTTTCATCTTTCTAGTCTATCTTAACTGCTGTCAGTGCTTTGTTATTTGCAGCCCAGAAAAAGACTAAGAGCGCTACCAGCAATAAGGCTTACTAACCACCCTTAATAAGATGCGAGAACCAAGCAGTGGCTGAGCATACAAGTGATAATGTAATGACTATTAAGGAGGTACAGTATGAAAAGGAGAGAGCAGGCTGTCTCCCTACAAAGTAGGCATGAGGCTTAAGCCCTGGCCAACCTTGCCCACAGTTACCTTAAATAACTTTTGGTATTAACACAAAATAGTAATAAAATAAAAAAGACCAGGAGAGGAACACCTAAGATAAGCTTGCTGATTGAACTTTTGAAGAAAAAACTGCTTTGCCAAAGTATATGGAAAACAGTTTGGGAGACATGGCTGGTTAATTTGAAATCCAGATAAAGAGCCATTGCCAACTTCCTTATGGTTTTTTTGGAAAATGCTTCACAAAGAAAGCAGTTAACTTTCAAGGAAACTGGACACAGAAAACAAAATGCAAAAGTAACTAGCTATTGTCAGGGAAAAGAAAATTTAGCCAGATAACCATGAAAGTCCTAATCATCAGCAGGCCTGAAGATTTTAGGTTCTCCAGCAAAACTGTTCCACAATATATTAATGCGACTAAAACAGCATGGATGTAGTCAGAGATGTTTTATACCACTCTATCCAACCTAGTCAAAGGGAATGGGAATAAGCTATGTGATGCAGTCTGATATCTGTATAAAGGTGTCATCTCACTACCAGCTTTTTCCTGAGTAAAAAACAGAGAGATACTGGCACAAACAACAGTGTAGACTAGGCTTTGTAAGCTACAGAAGTCATTATTGAACCATGGAGTAACAGAACTTTACAACTTATTTGCCATTAATGCATCTGTTGCAGGAACAGTTTGAATGCATCTCTCTTCTATAGCAGAAATCAAACCCTGTTGAATTCAGCTACAAAAGTTCAGAAAAGGCTCCCTAAACTGGAAGGAGAAATTTATGCGAACTTCAAAAATCTCTACAAGAAGCTCCTTAAACATATTAATACAAATATATAATACTAGATACTAATATCAGATCAAGAGAGACATGTTTAGGCCTTGGTGCATAAAGAAAAACACTAACAGGGACTAAAATATATATATATATTTCCCCAATAAATTATTCCATAACCAGCCACTTCATGGAAACTTCTACCTTCTTCTGAAGTCTCTGGTAACAGATTGACCAGTAAGAACTAACCTGACAAGTC